TGCTTAAAGCTATGTATGGATCCTGCCTCCACTACATCGCTTCCCAAACTATTCCACTTACTGACTACTCTGTGGCTGAAGAAATACTTCCTAACATCCCTGTGATTCATCTGTGTCTTTAGCTTCCAACTGTGTCCCCTTGTTACTGTGTCCAATCTCTGGAACATCCTGTTTTTGTCCACCTTGTCAATTCCTCTCAGTATTTTGTATGTCGTTATCATGTCCCCCCTATCTCTCCTGTCCTCCAGTGTCGTCAGGTTGATTTCCCTTAACCTCTCCTCGTAGGACATACCTCTTAGCTCTGGGACTAGTCTTGTTGCAAACCTTTGCACTTTCTCTAGTTTCTTTACGTGCTTGGCTAGGTGTGGGTTCCAAACTGGTGCCGCATACTCCAATATGGGCCTAACGTATACGGTGTACAGGGTCCTGAACGATTCCTTATTAAGATGTCGGAATGCTGTTCTGAGGTTTGCTAGGCGCCCATATGCTGCAGCAGTTATTTGGTTGATGTGCGCTTCAGGAGATGTGCCTGGTGTTATACTCACCCCAAGATCTTTTTCCTTGAGTGAGGTTTGTAGTCTCTGACCCCCTAGACTGTGTGTGTGTGTGTGTGTGTGTGTGTGTGTGTGTGTGTGTGTGTGTGTGTGTGTGTGTGTGTGTGTGTGTGTGTGTGTGTGTGTGTGTGTGGTGTGTGTCATGGTAAAAAGCAGCTACGCTGTCATCACACGAAAATGACAAAATTCAACGAAAATGTTTGGTATTTTCAGGTTAATTATTAAGGTATCTAACATTATTAATAAGAACAGTGACACGTTCTCCTTGGTTGCCTCCATCGTTCACGCAGTCTTAGAATTATGCAAACTTAAAACAGCACGAGTCAGTAAACCTCCTGAAGTGCTCCCCTGATGCTACAATTTCTGATCATACACCTGATTTCAGTCGCCGAGTGTATTAATCAAGATGCATTGTTCTCAAGGTTTCTTTGCACTGTATGTGACCAAAATTACCTGCTTGCCATTTCCTTCCTCTCCAATACAAGCTTCCATATATATACTAGTATTTGTCAAGCAGAAGGCTCGATCTTCCAACATCACAGACGGGAGTATATAATGTCATGATCCGTCTATGGCATAGCTATATGCCACAGCCGAGTCATGACGCTACACTTCCTTATATTTAGTGTCTTTTATCACTTCCCGGCATTTATGCCTTCTATTGGAGGGTCCTTCCTCCTGTTGGAGGGTCCTTCCTCCTGTTGGAGGGTCCTTCCTCCTGTTGGAGGGTCCTTCTTCCTGTTGGAGGGTCCTTCTTCCTGTTGGAGGGTCCTTCCTCCTGTTGGAGGGTCCTTCCTCCTGTTGGAGGGTCCTTCCTCCTGTTGGAGGGTCCTTCCTCCTGTTGGAGGGTCCTTCCTCCTGTTGGAGGGTCCTTCCTCCTGTTGGAGGGTCCTTCCTCCTGTTGGAGGGTCCTTCCTCCTGTTGGAGGGTCCTTCCTCCTGTTGGAGGGTCCTTCCTCCTGTTGGAGGGTCCTTCTTCTCTGGGTGCCACGGCACCTGACATTTTTTCTACCATAGCTGTGGCACCATTAGTACCAGAATATTTTAGTTTCTTCCTAATAAATTTTCTTCTGAATATTTTTTCACCTGTGATTATGGTATGAAGAGACTTGCAAACAATAATATCTTCCTCAGAAGAATATTTACGTACACAGCGCACATACACAAATAACATTGTCGGTTTTTCAAACCATTCATCACAAATAACATTGCTAGCAGACAACGTCGCTGGATTCATTCATGTGTAGCGCCAAGCTTACTGCGTCCAGTTTTACTTGACTTATTAGTATTGTTTCATGCAAAGCTAAAATCTCCTTGATGCGTCTAGAAACTAGATTATCAGAGAGTTATACACAATAAATTTGTCTGTAGAATTTGTCGTCTATCGTACATTCTACCAGTTCTTCTGCACACGGTATTACCAAAACCTCCTGCGATAGCAGCAACTAACACGGTATGAAGCTACTTTACCCCTTTTTTGTTGTTGTTACTCTCAGTTGTTCAAAAATGTACTTTTCTTCTCATAGAGTTTGGCAGTTTCTTTTGAGATACTTATCATTTTTATCTTTCAAGTCATGATGTTTGGTTTCAAGATGCCTTTGTGATTTTTGAGGATTCAGGCTACTGTTATTGAACACTTGGTCTTCAACGCCAATAAGAGAAAGTACCTACCAACAGGAGGAAGAACCCTCCAGTAGGAGGAAGGACCCACCAGCAGAAGAAAAGACCCTCAAGTAGAAAGAAGGACCCCCTGCAGTAGGAGTTAGGACTCACCAGCAGAAAGTACCCCACCAGCAGGAGAAAGGACCTTCCGGTAGGAGGAAGGGCCCTCCAAGAAGGAGGAGGGACTCTCCCGGAGGAGAAAAGACTCACTATGTTTTTAAGGATGCCGCGGCGGGAAGATCTGAGTGAGTGACCTCTCAATGCCTCCATCCTGGCCTTCTTCGCCTCCTTATATCTTCCTCCCCATGTTACTCATAACAATCATCCAGTGACACTCATGTGGGGTGAGTCTCGCCTTAACTGCTACACTTTCCATACATCACACGTCCGAGACCTGACGGAGGTGGTTGACTCGTCAACAACCCTGGCACAGGTGTTCACACGTCAGCGATCTGACGAAGGTTTTCGCGTCGTCTGAACCAGCAGATAATCACTGAACCGAGGAAAACTTCCTCAAACCGAAATAAACAATTTAAAACTGTTTTTTCCCCCGCAAGATACAGTTTTTTGAGAAAGACGTCACCAGTACAGTCTTTCAGATTGACGCCGTCACCAGCACAGAGTGTTTCAGGGTGACGTTGTCACCAGCACAGAGTGTTTCAGAGTGACGTTGTCACCAGCACAGAATGTTTCAGTAACGTTGCCACCAGCACAGAGTGTTTCAGGGTGACGTTGTCACCAGCACAGGAGCATTACATACACTGCATTACCATAAGCAGTAAAGCGACGCGCATGCGTGTATAATGTGTCTATCGTAGCGGGTGAGCATGACACCTGAGCCCCACCCATGCTTAATGACCTCCAGTGTCACTCCTCACACTCTCCTACTCACCTCTCTCTTCAGGGGGTGCTCATTCCTCACACTTCCTACTAGCCTCTCTCTTCAGGAGGTGCTCATTCCTCACACTTTCTACTCGCCTCTCTCTTCAGGGGGTGCTCATTCCTCAGTCCCTACTCGCCTCTTTCTCTTCAGAGAAGCTCATTTCTCACGCCCTGCTTGCTTCTCATCTCTCCGGCGACTATGGAAACCTATAATTAAAGTTTTTGCAAAATAAATAAGTCGCTTTTCTTTTCATTTTGTTAACCCAAACTGGGTATATCAGCAGTTGCTTCCACCCATCTTCATCACAGTTACATAAATGAAAAGAAAGCTAGCTGTTTCCTTGTCCCATTCCATCACACAGGCTGGAATACTTCTTAAGCATTCCAGGCTGAGCTGGGATACTCCAGAAGGGCGATAAGGATACTGTCTAACATTTGACTATGGGTTGAGTATTAACGGCAGCTTCTTTCCAGCAGAGCTAGATTTAATATTAAATGGGAATCAGCATTTCTTAGGACGGCTTGTTCCAGGTTTAAACTGGAGGATGGAGGGTGGATATTTTTGGTGGAGGGGGTGTGTGGTGGAGGGTGTGTGTAGTTTACCTCTCACGAGTTACGGCTCTGAGAAAATATGGGATCCGCCCAACTGTTGCTGCTAGCACGATCTTGCCTCCACCTCTCAGTTATGCAGTGCTTAGCGTGAGTCAGCATGTCATGTAGTGGAAGTGTGAGTCAGCACGACATGCAGTAGTAAGGTGAGTCAGTAAGTCATAGAGAGTAATAAGGCAGACACAACACTGACTTGTTATTTAGCCTTGCACATGCGCACTACAATATACACGATGTAACAACGCCGGTGAGGTCTTCATCAGAATCACAACCATTTTCAGCACACCACATACACAAGTACACTCACCTTCAGTATACCAGAACACTACTCACCTTGAGTACACCAGAACACTACCCACCTTCTGTACACCAGAACACTACCCACCTTCTGTACACCAGAACACTACCCACCTTCAGTACACCAGAACACTACCCACCTTCAGTACATCAGAACACTACCCACCTTCAGTACACCAGAACACTACCCACCTTCAGTACATCAGAACACTACCCACCTTCCTCTTAATTCTCCGACTCGAAACCACGTCATGATTGAGAAGCCTAATAGCATAATCCCCTGCTCGCTCATGTTGGAGCAAATAGTGGAATACTATGCCGCGACACAGGTTCAAATAACCAGTGGTGAGCACACTTTCCACCAGGTAACCACGATACAAGAAGCCATGGGCCGGCAGAGGGCCAGTTCTTACCACCAACTGTTCTTTGAGATCTGGCGGATTTTATGCCACAAGATCTTACATTGTGCTTCTGACCGTCACTTCAAATTTAGTTTATAGCCTGGGCGAAGTCAGATTGTGAAATATATGAATATGTGGCCCTCTTTGAATTACATCGCAACGGCCTGGGAGTAGCAGGTTGAAGTGTCTTCCAGTGCAGAGTACTTGTCAGCGTATGTAAGAAAACCACAGCCATTTAGCTTGCCATGTCGGGAGGAAAGAACCCTCCCAACACCACTCGAGATAGAAATACCATAGCATTCTTATCCCCATTCCAAAAATTAACAGAGTCCGGTACTGGGATGTCTACTAAGTCGACTTCAGAAATGGGAGCAGTAGCAAGTCAGTCACAGTAACTCGGCACCCAGCTGAGTTTGGCTCGTTGCCAGGAACCATGTCTGTGTAAGGGTCATCAGGAGTCGCTTCTGGGGGGGGGGGGGATCAGAAGAGGGAGGTGGTGTCGTGACTGCCTTGGGTTTTCTTTATTTCTTTTCTGCTATGTGATGTATAAGAGAAAAAGCCGAGCAAAAGTGGAAAAAGAAAAAGATGAAAGGCAGAGTACGAGTTGACTATTAAAAGGAAGACACTGCCCCACCACCAGTCCTAACACTCCACACCAGTATGATCGCAGTACCGACTGTCTTTCAGGGGCCACCCTTAACACATCCAGGGCACAGTCCTAGGATAACTCGCAAAGCAATGTGTTAACTGAGCAGGGTTAAGCAAAATTGTGTTATGCAGATAAACAGATAGATGTTTATAGAGATAGAGGACTATTTTTGTTGCTAATTGCATAGCTAACACGTTGCATATGCATTATTATATATACATGGGAGATTCTGAAAAGGAAGTTGCAAATGACGATAGACGAATATGGGAATGCATGTAGAAAGACATTAAAAATCAACAAGGTGATGAAAGTAACAAAAAATCTAGGAAAGGAAAGACTGGATATCAGATTGGAGGGAGGGAGTATAGAGGAAGTAAATATGTTTAGATATTTGGGAGAGAACTTGTCGGCAGATGTGTCTATGAAAGATGAGGTGAAGCACAGAACTGACGAAAGATGAAAAATGTGGATGGTGCACTGAGGCATCTGTGGAGACAAAGAACCTTATCCATGGAAGGAAAAAGGGGAATGTAGCTGAGTATAGTGGTACCAACACTTACATGGGTATGGAACATCAGGATGAGACTGAAGACAATGAAGATACCATGTTTTAGGGCAATGTTTAGTGTGAATATTATGTAGAGAATTCGGAGCTTGGAGATTAGAAGGAGTTGGATTACCCAAAATATAATTCAGAGAGAGGAGTGGTTGTCGAGGTGGTTTGGTTATTTACAGAGGATGGAGCAAAACGGAGTGACTGGGGGAGGATCCGCATATAAATCTGGGGCAGAGGGAAGGAACAGGGGTTGTCCCAAAAAGGGTTGGAGAGATGGGGTAAGGAAGGTTTTGAGTGCTGGGGACTTGGACATCCAACAGGCTGACCCCTATCTTTCTCTGTATATATATATATATATATATATATATATATATATATATATATATATATATATATATATATATATATATATATATATATATATATATATAATATATATATATATATATATATATATATATATATATATATATAATATATAATATAAAGAGAGAGAGATACGTCGTGCCGAATAGATAAAATTGGTCAGTTAGCAAGAACTCATTTAAAATTAAGTCCTTTATAAAATTTTCCCTTCTACGTTTAAAGATATATTTTTTTCATTTATGTTAAGAAAAAAAATAATAATTTTGTACCAAAAGAACCTTAGAAAACTTATCTAACCTTATTATAACAAGCGCAATTTAATTTAGCCTAATCCAGCTAAGTATATTTTAGATAAGTTTATATTAATTTAACAATAAACAAACACAATGAATGATTTTTGCGAAATTATTGCATTCACAAATTTTCGCTTGACTTATTTGGCAAGAGTGCTGCTATTTAAGCCAAAATCGCAAGTTTTACCTATTCGGCACCACACACACACACACACACCACACCACACACAACACACACACACACACACACACACACACACACACACACACACACACACACACACACACACACACACACACACACACTAACACACACACACACACACACACACACACACACACACACACACACACACACTAACACACACACACTAGCACACACACACTAGCACACACACACACACACACACACACACACACTAACACACACACACTAGCACACACACACTAACACACACACACTAGCACACACACACTAACACACACTAACACACACTCACGCACGCAAGCACACACTTATATACAACAGGCCAAGTGTATAATCGACATGTGCCTAGGACAGAATGGTAACTAACACACACACACACACACACACACACACACACACACACATATATATATATATATATATATATATATATATATATATATATATATATATTTTATATATATATATATATGTATATATATATATATATATATATATATATATATATATATATATATATATATATATATATATATTATATATATATATATATGTCGTGCCGAATATGTAAAACTGGTCAATTAGCAAGAACTCATTTAAAATTAAGTCCTTTCTAAAAATTTCTCTTATACGTTTAAAGATATATTTTTTTCATTAATGTTAATGTAAAAAAATTTAATTTTGCACCAAAAGAATCTTAGAAAACTTACCTAACCTTATTATAAGAAGCGCAATTTATTTTAGTCTAACCCAGCTAAGTATATTTTAGATTTGTTTACAATAATTTAATACTAAACAAACACAATGAAATATATTTTTTTCGTTAGGTTCAGAATGATTTTGGCGAAATTATTGCATACACAAATTTTCGTTTGTCCTATATGGCAAGATGAGCGTTGCTATTTAAGCCAAGATCGCAAGTTCTACCTATTCGGCACGACATATATATATATATATATATATATATATATATATATATATATATTATATATATATTTTTTTTTTTTTTTTTCAACAAGTCGGC